GTGTGGCCACACATGGTTGTTAGATTATCACGCGGCGATGCTCCGATCTACTGACGATCGAAGCCGTCGATGTCGGTACGATTCGATATTTGACTATAATACATGGTGAATATTCGAATAATTCGAATATCTCGAATGTCCATCTGCGTGATTCGTTATTCGTTAGAATTCTTTGGTAAGCCGAATTATTCAATATCGTGTAAAGCGATGTGATATAAAAGACCTCGTTTTTATCACATTAACGCCATAAAGCCTATCGTCTTCTACTTTAAGATTCCTCGAATTATCTACGAATGTCGGGATATTCTAATATTCGGATAATCGAACGTGTAGTCTTAAAAATACTCGTCTGTTCTCTCTCACACACACACACACACACACACACACACACACACACACACACACACACACACACACACACACACACACACACACACACACACACACACACACACACACACACACACACACACACACACACACACACACACACACACACACACACACACACACACACACACACACACACACACACACACACACACACACACACACACACACACACACACACACACACACACACACACATGCACGCGCGCGCACGCGAGAGAGAGAGAGAAATTAAAAAAAAAGTGACGATGCGCGAGAATATCTACTTTTTCGCGCTATCGTTTATGTCGTTGTCTCCTTTTGATTGCGGTCTAATCGTGTACAGATTTAATGTAGAAATTTAATAGACCTATCGCGCGAGCAACTGCCGAAACGGTTGATGAGCGCGAAAAAAATAAAACGAGCGTAGAGAGCAGATCGCGGCTGATTTTGCGGACGAGCGTATTGTATGATAATATCGTAGTAGATTGTGACTTTTGTCCCTTTGTAATTAACGATGTTCATCGTATTTATTTCCTCGTGTAGCATATGCATGAGTGTTGTCCCGCGTGGTTTTTGACCATTGTGACTTCGAAGTCAAATGTTAATGAGCGTATATTGATCTTGATCTCCAGCTACAATTAGCTATATGTTTACTCCTTTTTTTCCTGGTGCGCAGCGAGTTTCATAGGATTTTTCGTTCTAGTTATGCACGTGGCACATCGTTCGAATACACGTATTTTTTTCTTTTTTTTACATATAATATATTACGAATTCGCCATTCGATTTAATATTTATGAAGCTCCGAGCCTTCGGGAGCTTTCACGGGAATTCAAGAAACCGTAGTTTCTACATTCAATCTTTACGCGAGAAATCTTTAGTCCCGTAGCATACGTTCGTTTTCGTCCTTCTTTATCTCTTCCGAGTACCGCTCTAGCCGATTCCTTATGCAGAATAAATCGTGCAAGCGATTATTTCCTGAATCACTGATTTATTTTGTATCGTTTAGCTTTGTATGTACACATGTACGTTTATAAGACATTATTGATTTATATCATAAAATAATATATATACATAAATATTATCTCTCATATAAAAATGTGCCTACATTACTTGGCTCTTGATTCTGTCATTGTTTCAACAATTTTCTCCGTTGTAAGTTCAATTAGACTTGTATCGGATAGTTTACTTAGCCTCGTTATTTCTACCAAAATATATTTCAAATTCGCAGATTAATTATGATTACAATGAATCAACATTCAGCGCGAGAATTGCAGATCTTGCATAATTTGGACGATTGATGTTCATTTTTTATTAATGTATTAGGTATAGTAAAAAGGAATCCATTATTTTTGCATGAAAAATAATGGATTTCTTTTCATTACACCTAATCAGGGTTGCCACAAGTCAGGGAAATGTCAGAGAATTGAAAAATGCGTCAAAGAAGTTAGGAAAAGTCAGGGATTTAGCACACTTGTCAGGGAAAATAGAATGGCTGTAAATAAATTTATATTGCCTTGTGCTTCTATGATTGGTTTGGAGTACCTTTTTTTTCTTTTTCTTTGGAGTTAGTTTTCTGAAGAAAATGCATCTATGTTACATTGCTGAATCGACAGAATATTTAACGTTTTCCGTGTTACGGTAAAAATACAAGAGACATTGCAAAATATGTATTATTCAAAGTCAGGAAAAATCTCAAAATTTTGTCAGTAAGTCAGAGAAATTTCAGGAAATTTTACGATTAAAAATTTGTGGCAACCTTGCTAATATTATAGATTAACTTTAATCTTCACTTAATTTAATTTAATCTTTGTCTTTTTTGATTCTTAAAACTTGAAGATAAAAAGTAAGTGTTGTACATTGGTAGAAATGGACATTAATCATAGAAATTTTGCATGATATGTAATTCTTGCATCGAATATTGATTTACTGTAACCTTCATAATTAATTTGTGGATTTCTATGCAAATATTTTTAAAAGATAGAGAAATATGAAACCAGAAGAGAAATTTTGTTTTGTTTAAAAAGTAATGATCAAAGACCCTGACTGTGAATCAGAATTGGAATTAATTAATTATAAAGGAACATAAAATTATGCATAAAACTATATTACTATTATTGGAGTGATAAAAAAGTGGTCACGAAATTTTATTAAATTATTAATAGCATATATTTACCAAATACTAGATTAGTTACATCTCTCATGAGATAGCATATATTTACCAAGTACTAGATTAGTTACATCTTAAATGCTAAAAATAATTCACATTCAGAATAGCTATTTTTATCTTTGATACAAATTCTAAGGTGCTCCAGGGATGTTTCAAGAATGGTCACGCATCTTTCCACGGATAAATTCTTCCAGGCAATCAATAAAGCGATCTTTAATAATCGATAAAAATCTGTTGGTGCAGAGTTTATTGACATTTAATTAGATGTAATTAACACTCCAAAGTTCATTTTCTAAATATACATTATTACCTAGGTGATTTATTTAATAAACACACAAAACTTTGTCACACAAGCTTCTTTTGTAATCTTATAGCTTTTGACAAATATCTAGTGTACAAAAATTTTATAGTAAATCTATATATATTCTAAAGTTTTAAAATGGTACGACAAATAAAGTAACACGGTGTTTAAGTAGCATTTAGGTAAAGTATATTTACAATAACTCTTAAAAATGCATTTTACAGTATTATAATACATTAACGATACTACTCGATGCATTTTTACAGCGTTACAATTCGCCACTGGCAGAATTGTCGGATCGACGTTTAATTATTAATCATGCGTCCATTTGACAATGAAATTCGCAGATATATGAAACATTGAACACGTTACAATTCTAGAGGTACATTGCTGCATATTAACACAAAATATTTCGTCAGTAATGGATATTATCAGTATCAAAGTAATACTAATATATACTTTGCAGTCTTATCTTGCGTATAAAATATTCACGTTCCAATAAACGAGAATAGATTAAAATGAATTCAGACTTTCAGAAATACATATTCGCGAACATTAAAATAAATCCTTTGTAATTTCAATGCATTTTTATTCATTTACAGGAATTGCATAAAGCATTTTTATACTTTTCAATATAAAAATAATATTAACATTTTCTATGCAATATGTATATTGCTCAAAATTCTAAATCAGAGATGCAGTTTTTCGATTTAATTGAATCCAGTTGAAAGTTGTATGTAAAAAAAGTAATTTCAATCCAGCTTCGACTGTCAAGATTAAATACATGTACATTATTATATAAAATATTTGTGTATAATAAAATTTTTAATTTTTAATTATATTTTACTTTCAATTTAAATTCGTATCAATTAAATAAAGAAAAAAGAAATACTATAGCGAATGTTATTCATTTTTCCTTCGTCAGCAATATATTTAAAAAAATTGAAGAATAAGAATGTACATGCCAGTGCTTGAAATACATTGATAATAATCAAAGTGGGCTTAGCAAAGTACACTGTAAGTAGATTTTCACAGAGACCTGTTTTCGTAAAAGGAATAATATATATAAATAATACTAAAAGTTGTAAATGATCGTATTTCGCAATGCAGACATCTATTATATTTTATAGCGCCTGCTGATATTTATATCTTCGGATCGTTTGCATAGGTGATTAAAAAAGCTCATCAATTATGGATTGGAAGGTAAATTCGTAATCACGTAAGAGATCAGATTATTTTCAGACGAAATAACATTTAAGGACCATGTCATCTTGACATTCACTATATCGATCATACTAACTTCGAGTGCACCTAAAAGACGCCGATTTTACGAAGTTTGAGCATATTGATTTAATTATACAAGTGCACGGTGCACTTGTCATCAATCGTAAAATGATAATCTAAATCGGTTCCTTACTTACAGAAATCTAATACTATAATCAGTTTATCAAAAAAAACTTTAAAAGGAATTTATTAAAAGACAGTAATTAATTATTGTTTTACAGAAAAAATTCGATAGTATATTAAATTTCTGTAAGGAATGTAGACGTAATAATAATGTTCGGAAACAGAAAAATAAAGATCGTAAATTTTTATAGAACTACGTATATGTTTCACGATCGATGCACGCTTGGATACAAAAATTCTGACATATATTTTGTAAATTTAAATCTACAGTGAATCTACAGATAACAATTACTGATATCTACATATGCATTTGTAATATATGACTTGCAATACTGATATAAATATCAAAAATAAACAGTCTGTTTGTATTAAGGAGAAGAATTTACTTTTATGTTATATATTTAGTAGGATTACGAAGTAAGTATTCATTTTTCATTTTCTTTATTACGTCACCTGTTGTGACCTACGCAAATAATCAGAATTCTAACTAGCAAATAAATAAATATTCACTTTGCGAATATTTCCACTTTTAAAATTATACGCTGTTCCACAAAAGAAATTAATTCTCTCTTAAGCACTAATTGACTAGTATTAAAAAGATCGACCAAAATCGAACGTATATTCTTCTAATTGTAGGTCCTGTACGAATTTCTAAACGATCCATTAATTTCCTTTTCTCAGGTATAGATCAATAATAATCAAACTTGAAGAATTCTGCATCACAAAATCTAAAAAACTCAATACCTTCTTTTTTATTATGGACAGAAATATGTCAGATCATTTTCGAGATTAATGTTCGGATGGTGGTTGGATCCTCTGTAAAGCCTTCGATCCAGCTGTCGCTTTGTCCCTCAGGATAGCCTTCGCGTCCTTCTCGAGTACCTGCTCCCTGTCATACAGCTGGAACTGGTAAGCGGGCTCATTCACCAGCACGCTCTCTTCAGCGGTGTTCTGCGCGTCCTCCGGGGCGAGGAAGAACCTCGCGCGACCTTCGCATTTCCGTCGGTAGTCCGGATTGTCCGGTGCTGGACGGTGGCAGGAGTCGCAGACGGTGTCGGTGCGCGACGTGCATGGATGAGCCTCGTACAAACCCGGGCCACATCTGGCACAATTCCAGCAGGGCTGCGTGCTGTGATGCGGGCTGTACGTACCGCTGGGGCACTGTTCGCACACGGTGTCGCGGCCGCGAGCGCAACGGCTAATCACTCCCCAGCCTGGACCGCATCTGCTGCAGTGCGAGCCATCCCGGTGGTGCCTGATGTGAGGTCTGCTCTCAACCACCTGGAAACAGAGCGGCAGATGGTTAGTGATGGTTGGTGTCCCGAAAGGTGGAATTCGTGAAACAGCATTCGAGTGACTCTACGTCGTGATTTTTTTTTTAGAATCGGAAGGATTTAAAAATTGACTCTATCGATCCGACCACTTGACCCAGAATGCCATTTATGGATAATTAAAGAGTCTAAAATCGTATCTCTCCATACGTTTCTTCAGGCAATGCAAAGCTATTTTCTTTAAGGAGAGCTGGTTTTTGAAGGCACCACGTTGTTGCAATCTTTTAGGATCAGACCTTCGAAAGGATTTAAAAATTGATTGTATACAATCAATCTGACCACTTGACTCCGAATGACATTTGTAAATAATCAAAGAGTCTTGTAAAACTCTATATCGGCATGTTTTTTTAGACGGTGTAAAGCTGTTTTCTAAAAAAAAAAATAACGCTATTTTCTAAAGACTCCATGTTACAATTTTTTGGGATAGAATCTTTAACAGGATTTAAATGATATTTATGTGGATGATTAAAGAAAATTTGTGAATAATTAATTGTTTAAAATTGAATTTCTTTATGCGTTCCTTCGCACAAAGCAGTTGTTTCTAAAAAGGAATTGTGCTTCCTGAGTATATAGATCAAATAGATCGTACTAGAACTATGAATAATCAGTCTCATTATTACTGCATATTATTTTTCCACTGCTTTTAATATAAATTGATATGCAATGCAATTTCAACCGTTCAACAACAGGTGCACTGGAGAAGGCGGCCACCTGACTTCGAGGGAACACCTTGCGCCTTTCTTCCGCCTACTTCGGGCAGATCGAGAGACGCGATATATGAGCCTCTGTACTCTCTCACGCATAAAATGTTACTTTTAATACGTTAGGATATCCGCTACACTTTCGCCGACTAATTTTCCCAAAATAAGTCAGTCTGATCGATTATACAGGTCCGTAACTTTCTCTCAGTTCGAGGCTTTCCAAATATCGATTGCAATTTTATATTATAATATATATATATATATATATATATATATATATATAATTGGCTTGATTTAAAAAATTATATTAATGAATAAGAGAGCTTTAGCCACACGCTAGATATAATAAGCGATATTTATTTAATAGTTATATATATAAATACAAATTAAAAAGTGAAAATAGACGTTTCGGCCCTAAAAGAAGCCATCTTCAGTACAAAAATTAATATAATAATGAAGAAAAACAATAACATTATATGATATATTTTTTGGTTATACATGATGCGATTCTGAGTCGTTATTCCGATTACAATTTTTATAC